GGATTCAGAGAGAGACTCCTTTCACTTCACCACTCTTTATTTCACACGCGGTCTCCACGAGACCTCTCGGTTCGTCGGTACAATAACGAATGAATTAATTATGACGAACGACTCTTCTTCCGGTCACGCCGGCTACTACCACGAGCGCCGCCACCGGCGCCGTGTACAAGTTACTAGCCCTAGGCGCTCGCGCCGCAGCGCTAGTACTATTCTCTATCAATCTCTCGCGAACGCAACGATGCGCGCGCAGCCCGCGAGGGAATCGCCGCAATGAAATTACCCAAAAAAGTCGGTATTGCAGGTTATATCTTACAATATCTAAAGACTTATAGACGCAAAACTGTCACTGACGACAAAATGTTTAATTTTAATTTAATTTAATTATATTTTTTGAATAATACGGACTCCTGGATTCAGATATTTATTTTAATTTTGGTTACAACTAGTTAGCTTTTTAATTATATTGAGTTTTGTCATTTTATTTTGAATCTAGCTACTACAAAGTTACAAATTACTGATTTCAACAAGGACATTATTTGCCTTTGTCTCTATTTAAATCTGGGAGGACCGTACGCAAAATCTACCTCACGCTGCGTTTAGAGGATTTCGCTTGAACCTTAAGGTGCGTTCCCACTGAACGCGTCACGCGTCGCGTCGTCTGTCGCGTCACGATTAATCGACCAAAATATCCCATTTTATTGCATTATTTGCCGCGCGACTCCTTGCGCGACATATTGATTAGGTTACTCGACATTCTAGAGATGAAATAATTTTTTTTGTATGAAATCCAGGTTCACGCGGCAAATTACGCAATAAAATACGCAATTATGTTTTGATTGGTCAATTCGGATAATGCGACGCGTGATGCACTCAGTGGGAACACACTCTTATACTTTAGATGATATTTAATGAATGTTAACATTCTTCTTCCATATTTCACTGGATAATTAATTATATTTTGAAGGGATTTTAACATTAAAAATGACCTAATATAGGTTGAAACGTCTGTTTGTATAATCACTTGATATAATCTTATTGTGAGCATTAAATAGCTCAGGCTTATAGCCCTTAATTATTTTATTGATTTGAGCCTTTTAACTTATTATTATTCTATATGCTTGAACTGTGTCAAAATCTAGAAAGTGGTGCCACCTATAATAAAACCAACATAGCTAATTTTTGTCCCCCTCGAAAAATTATCTGAAATTAATTTTCTTTCTTATGTCTTATCTTCGAGATATTTTATATTAATTAAAATGAAACATCTTATATGATGTTTTTCCACTCATTGTCAGTCACAGAAAGGTTGCAACACTTTATTTTGATGGGTTTTGGAATGCAGTTTTGCTTGTGAAGCCAGCTGTCAGATTAACGATTTCGATAATTTCGAATACGCTATTCGATTGCTAGTTGTTTACTAATTTTTGCATATAGACCAGTGCAGATAACTTTTTGTAGTGAAAAAATTAATAACAGCAAACCAAGTATGAGGTATTTTAGAAAATGCCGTCACAATGATAAAAACCAAAAATTCTACGCGAAAAAA